AAATGTTATAGCACTGCCTTTAGTAGCCTCACACAGCTCTACTGTTCCCTCCTCATGTCCTTACCAGCCATGTCTGGACATGTTATATCATGAGTAATAATTTTAAAAAATGCACGCACACACAGTGACATTTTAGACCTTCTTCAGAATACTGTATATACTATGGGCATCACTGTGCTGATCCAGAATCCTTACATTATTATTTATTACTAGAGCTACAATAATAAAGCAATGAGGAGGGGGAAGTAATAAGTATGAAGTAATGTCATTATGATGATTCCATTTCTTTCACTATCCACTCTGTGCAGGGGGAAAGCTTATTACATTTTTAAACTGTAGAGATACAATAATTTTACTGCTGTAAAATCCAAATTTTGTCTTATTTAAAATATAAATCTAATATAATCTGCTTCTTAATGTATGTTCTTTAAAATACAGCATGTGTTTTTTAAAATATTATAATAATGCATAATTATGTGGACATGCATATTAGATCGTTTTTTTAGTGAAATATAATCCCCCCCAGAAAGGCAGGAAAAGCCCAGAAAGTTACTTTAAAACTAAATATGTTCCCTAAAACGGTGACAGAGCTACAGACCCATGACAGCCTTACCCAGGTAGCCAGCAGCTATGACCAGCACTACCTGTGCAGTTAATAAAATGAAGGTAATGTTTGTCGCGCTGTTGCACACACAGCACGGTCATTTGTTTCAGTTAGCCTCAGATTGATGACACAAAGATTAATCTTCAGTCTGTGTGTTTGTGGACAGCTGCGTTCCTAGGGATCCTGCAGGGGTGCTTCAGGATTACGCTGTCTCTGAGCTGCAGAGCGACTCCAATCATGACTCTTATGGACAGAAGCCCGGAGTGGAGGAGGATGGAGGTTTGATGATGTTGTGGTCTCTGAGGTAGTTTTGCTGGATTCATCAGGTGGTGACCTGCAGCTCAGTGAAAGCCGACGTACTCTGCAGGAAAAGGGTGTTGAGCCTTTTTTAGATGGAGGCAGTAAAGCAGGTTGTTTTCATGAGTGATGGAGGTGGGACCAGAGCATAGGCGTGGTGCCATGTGAGCACACAGGTAGATACGTACCCACACTCACCCCAGACATGCCGGAGAGACCTCTGACAGATTAGACAGATGATGTGTAAATTTTAGGATTTCCTGTTTTGTCATGGTAACAAACTGTCTGACCTCCCATCTGTTTCATCAGTTCAGTTTCTGTTTGCCTTTGAGCTGCACCGATCTGCAGCATAAGATCGTTTCCCATCTCTCTGTTAAAGGAGCCAATCAGATCAGTCCAAAAATTAATGATTGCAGTAACTGATCCTTCACAGCCACGGTTGATTGATCAGGAACCACAAACTCTGACACTCCTCTGTGATCCAGCGTTGTTCAGGAGTGTTGATCCACTATGAGCAAACATTAATGTCCTCTGATCCAGGTGCACACTAACGAGCTCAGGCAAGAAAGTGAGTCCTCCAGGTAATCAGTCTCTTTAAAGAGAAACAAAGGGGAACTTCACTGATAATCAAATATCATTATTATGTTAGCAAGTCAACAAGCACATACACAGGAAGTGTTCCTCAATGACCTCTGAATTCAGAAAAATCAAACCAAAGACGTTCTGAGACCAGAAAAACTTTATTGATTCAAAAATAGACTCAGCACACAACATACACACTGCAGGCCTGCAGTACAAATAGTACTGCACATAACTCTACCCCGTACCATAGAGTACTGGGGGTGGGGGAGGAGAGGGGGACATCTTTAATATTAGCAAAAACAAAAACTTAGAAAAAAAAAAAAAGGAGTTAGGTTTTACAGTCCGAGTCACAGGTCTTATCCAATCAGCAGCTTAGTGTCTATAATAAGCCCCACCCTCTTAAAAAGGCTCAAAGGACGTTTTGTCATATTTTCTCAGGTGAGCCTATAGAGGGTATGGTCAGCAGCAGGGGCGTGGCCTTACACACTATAAAAAGATCAAAGCAGGTTCATGTTTCACATCTTCATTGTAACCCAAAACAAAAAAAATCCAAAAAAGCCCGCCCACCACATCACCTGATGGCGTTACTATGGTGACACTCAGTCAGTGGGCATAGTAGCAGCTCAGTTTTTTGGCCTTTTGTTAGCTGATAAGAAGTGATATCAGAGCTCATACATCCAGACCCTGCCGAGTCAGGAAGTCTTCAAGCGCGCTCAGTCGCTCCACCAGCATCACGTCCAAGTCCGTGTCCTCGCCACCATTGCTGTGGCAATGTCGCCGAGCAGCTGCTCTTTTCCTGGGTACCATAGCAGCAGGAAGTCCCGCCCCTAAACACAAAGATTTTTTCTTCAATTTCACAGTTGATGACAAACAGCTAATCAATAATCAGTAACCACTCTATGTGTGCCTGGGACAACCTCCCTAATGCAAACTACATTTCCCAGTGTACCTTGTGGTCTCTTCCTCTTTCTGGGCTGCGTGAAATCAGGAAAGAGGAGGAGCCTGCGCCTCTTCTGCTGGCCAATTAGGAGCAGTGCTCCGTCCTTTTCCCGAGGCTCCTCAAAGATGGTTTCCAGACTTCTGCAGGAACAAGCAAACCATGCTGGGAGATGGAGTTTGGATATGGAAGCATATTAACATAAAGGGCATGTACAGTCTTTACAGAAAAAACCCATCACCTGTCATTAGTAGGGATTTGTAGTCTTACCTGTTGTTAGCAGGGGATCTGTAGTTCTTGTTGGTGTAAATCTCCTCTAGACTGAACTCTTTCTTCTTTATTCTGAGAAAGCAAATGTAGGTCCACATTTGAAATAATGTTGGCACTTTTACTGTACATGTAAGTTTTTAGTTTCTTTCCTGACCTTTTGACCTTTGGTAGTCCCATTGGTGTAAGCAGCATTTCTCGCGGTGGCGCACGCCGGATTCTGATCTGTGAGACCCGTTTACCATGCTGCTGTAAAAAAAAAAAAATTACTGATAGAGTCCCTGTTATTTAATATTTAACCTGGAAGTGGTCTAGGTCACATTAAGGTTCAACATTATGGTGTGCATGGGGCTTGAAACACTTTGGATAGGATCCCAAGACTTCACTGTAGGAGGCTGACAGCTGGTGCCATGGGCCACCACCTCTGTTCAGTGATGGACGTTCATAGTGGACGTAGATGGCATCCTTTACCCCTCTCAAACTATGTGTGCTCTTAGTCCAAAATATTAAATTTAGCATCTTCAAAGAGTAACCTTTGACCTTTTGGTGTAGGTGTTCAGGTGGGTCCAATGACTGTAGAAAATGACACGACAGCACTTCCTCCCATTGTGCAAAAATGAAGCCAAAATATCCTGCTTCTGGAGGCTGCCATCTTGCATTTTTGGAGCCAGAGTCTACAAACTAGTGACTTGAGGTGGAAGTGAAGCGACTGTGTCCCGCTCCCACCCACACACCCTCTGGATGTAACCGCAAACACGCCCCCCTACACTTTTTACGTAGACCGGCTGCTCCAGTTCATTTGCTGATGGGTTTATCACGACTGACGACTCGTTCAATCAAGGTGAATACAACCACGTCACTGTTACAAAAAAGACACACAGCTTGTCATCTTATAGTTCTACAACATCTACAATCACTAGCATACACACTGTGTTGGAGGCTTGTTGCTAGCTAGTTAGTGATGCTACACACCTGTTACTCTAATAGTCTGTATTTATGAATGATTCAGCACTGTTTAGGTTTTGTTATCCGTTTTTAGACAGCGATGAGATCAGTTGCACACTCCACAGAGGCCCAGAGTTACTGTTAATATCAGAAATGTGATGCTGTCCTTTGAGATTTTAACATAAGACTGTTAGTGTAATGCATGTAAACCTGTTTAAATCTTCAGAAAACTCTACAGCCTGGTAACATGGAAACTTTAGAAATAGCAGGTTTCAGTAGTGTAGTCTAATTTGTTCTTTTCATTTAATAATAGAGTCCATATTATATCAACAGCTACATTCACCCTGGGGAGAAATTAGTGAGGGAGACCATCAGGACCAAGCTGGGTTTCCTGGATCCAGAGGTTTGGAGAAACTTCTTCCTATTCTTTCATCACAGCTGTCCTGTGCCAGATGTTCTGTTGACCCACAGAGAGGCTTCATTTAAGAAAGGCTAAAGCTTGTGGCAGGGATCAAGGAGGACCTCATGATCTTCACCAGCAGCTCCCTCACAGGGAAATCTTCAGAGCTCCACCGTAGGCCTGCCCCAGAAGATGGATAAATCCAGCATTTCATGAACACTGTGATGAGACCTTTGGTTTGTGTAATGTTATAAATACTCGGATACTCCTCAAAGGCTCTGGACTTATATTTAAAAATATATTATCCTCCCTGGTTACTCTGGTATGAATAACTCTGAATCACTTAATGATAAATAACACACTATTGTTATTGTAAAGTAATGCTACTCTTACTTGATTACAATTTTTGAATACTTGACCCACCTCTGCCCCTTGGACAGAAATCAGCGTGATGAGAACTATTGATAATACAAGAAAGAATCTTTGGAAAAAAATTATCTGAGGATAATTTATTTATTTTAGTCTGACCCCAGTTCCATCCACTAACATGGAGGAGGTGGGGTTTATGACCTATCCTGCAGCCAGACACCAGGGGGCGATAGAGACATTTTGGCTTCATTTTTGGGGGGCTGTCGCATCCTCCATGTTTTCTACAGTCATTGGGTGGGTCTCTTGTGTTGTTGTTGGGGGTGTCCAAATTCATGGGCTGCATCCTCCTGAAGCCGCATTTGTAGGCTGATTACGTCACAGCGACGCGACAAAGGCTGTCCAAAATGCAGCCGACAAATGCGCCCTCCTTTTCCCCAAATTTGAAGGATGGGTCGGGTGTGTCCGGATGCGGCCCACCATACCCCAGAATTCATAGCGCGGCTCAGCCAATTCCAGTTTTCAACAATTGCGGCTGCTACTAAGTTTTTAATATTACTCTTATTTCTCTTTCTGGGTCACAAAATAAACTTTTAACATATTTTCAGACGAGAATGTGGGTGTGTAAACTTCAAATATCTGCTCGGTTTATCAAGATATCACATATTTGCAAAAGCGCTCCGACGTTTTCGGAGACGTCTGTTACCCACCAGCTCGATAGCTAGCCGAGAGCTCGAGGGTCACTGAAGCCGCCGAGAACGGCACAACTCCCGGCACATCATTTTCAGATCACCGCAGCCTTTAGCTACTCAGGTTAAACGTAATATGTAAGTCACTTAGACAATCTAAAAATGTTATTGTTTGGCTTTTTTCAGTGTTTTATTTGTTCGTGAGTAAATCGGTTTGGCTGAGATTAAAGTTATTAGATTAGATTAGATATAATAAAACTTTATTAATCCCAAGGGTTGTTTTCACACAGCTGAATAAACGTCAAACAGAAAATTGATTAAACAAAAGTGTGAGATGGTCGAGAATTTACGCCAGTGTCCTGTTGTATTTTAGATAGCAAGGAGCAGACAGCTGAGTTTATTAAACTCCACCGAGACAGCGGTGACGCAAATCTGAAGGCTAGACTGTCCAATTTCACAGCCGTTTACTTCCGGCCTACCCGACCTCCTGAGGACCCGGCCCACGTAGACCGTGGCCGGGTCCTCAGGAGGATGCAGCCCATGATTTTGGACACAACTGTTGTTTGATTTATGCTATGTAGAGATCTGAGGACTCCTCCCTGTGACTTTAGTGTTTAGTTTGTTTTCGCAATTCTATAATTTAATAAAGGCCAACATAAGATAGAGAAACACCCTTTACTATTTGAAATATTTTTTTTTTTAAATAATAAAAACAAGAAAACAACTTCACCTCTCCATTTGTGCTAAGAAACTCAGAGCTGACTGCTGATTGGTCAGCTGGGAGTGAAGCAGGCAATCCATTGGCTGAGCAGGCAGGCAGGGGCCGGGGTCGTCGCCGTGGTAGGTAGAGGCTCTGAGTGCTGTGATTGGACCTCTGCTTCTGCTGTCGCCAGGCAGAAAAGGCTGGACTGAAACGCACAAGAAGCACTTTATTTCTTAGATTTTTATCCAACTAAGAAACACAAGTTAAACTACTTATGTTAATAATGATGAGGACATTAAACATATTAATATATCACTGGTTAAACTAATTATATTAATATAGACTGTTTAGTTTCACTGAAGAAAAATTTATTTGTATAAATGAAAAGTTAAGATTCATTACCTCAATATTAGCGTTTGAACATAACTGTGAAGATGAAACAGAAAGACGCCTGTTAAGTAAATTCTGTGGTTTAAAGATTGTTAATTAGCCTCATTTAAAAACAAAGTTCGACCAACCAGTGGTCGCTGCTCAGGCTGGGTGGGGCTGTCCAGTCCTTCAGGGACCGCTGCGGACTACAACAAACTCCACCCCTCACTGAATCCAACATCATTTCCATGGCAGCTGCTGGCAGGGGAAGCAGAGGGGCTGGGCTAACAGAATAAGAGGCGGAGCAAACCCTCAGGTGGAAAGCAGCGCGATTGGAAGATGGGGCAAGGGGCTGTGTGAAGCCTGAAAAACGCCACTTGCCAGAAGGGACAATGAATAGTTCCGATTGGCTGATGGTCAGACTCTCAGCTGACTGGAGGATATACAAGGCATTCTGGGAGGACAAGCTGCAAGTACAAAAAAATTACAGTTAAATCAGCTAAAATGGATTAGCAAAGCCAAAATCTGCTGTGATTGGCTGTTACATCATCGGCCATCACCCCCCTCACCTGTGTTGCATCAGCGGCACTCTATAACCGTTCTTCCTCACAAACACATTGATTGCCCTCTCTGATTGGCTGGAGCCTTCGGTCTCTGGTCTTTTGTTCTTCCCTTGGCTTAAGTTACACAGCGTGAGTGGCTCCCCCTTTTCACCTCCTCCTCTAACGCAGACAGCCATCTGCCCCACAAAGCGCCCCTCTGCCTCTCCCTTCACCTTCTCTTCTTTCTTTTCTGGACAAACACTGATCTCTCCTTGGTGGTTCTTCCTCCTCCTCTTCTTCCTGCTCACTGTCTCTTCTTCTCCTCTCCTCCTCCTTCTCTTTTGTGATTGAATGGAACTGGAAGAAAAAGGAGACGAGGACGACTCCTCACTATCGGATGATGATACTGATGATGAAGAGGATATGGTTACAAGTGGCAGAGGCGGGGTACTACAGGAAAAAGAGGAAGTGGAGCTGGACGCAAAGACAGATGGCCCTGAAAGAAACAGGAAACAAGAATTACTTTTTGTAAGTAGATTATAACCCTTTAAAGACCTGCAGGAACCCTCAACAGGAACCCCCAGAAACTCTCTGACATCTGAACACTCAAAGACCTACATTAACTGTCAGAGACTGCCAGAATGTGCAGGAAACCTCAGAGAGCTAACTTAACGCAGGAACTGTGATAGACCTACAAGAAGGCTCAGAGACCTGCAGGAACCAACAAAGGGAACCCCTAGAAGCCTGTAGAAACACCCCTCAGGAACCTCCAGAGACCTACAGGAAACCTCAGAGAGAGCCCCCAAAGACTTGCAGGAACCTCTTGAGACTTCCAGGAACCTGCAGGACACCTCTGAGACCTGAATGAACATTCAGGAACCGACAGGAACAACCCCCACCCTTGAGACCTAGGAACCTGCAGGAAACCTCAAAGAATTTGCATGATCCCCCAGAGCCCTACCAGAACCTGCATGAAATCTCAGAGAACTAGATGAACTTACAGGTACCTGCAGGAACCTTATTAGAACCCCACTAACCTTCCGAGACCTGCCAGAACCTGCAGGAAACCTCAAAGAACTTGCAGTAACCCTCAAAAATGACTCACCAGTCGAACATGATGCTCCTTCTTCTTTTTGTTTCTGGCTGTTCTTCTTCTTCCTCTGCGTCCTTCTGCTCCTCCTTTCCAGAGAATTCAGACGACGGCCAAGAGATGCTAGAGCTCCTCGCAGGAGGCGTCGTACCTCCATCCGGTGGCTTGAGAGGAGTCGAGGCAGGAGAGCGGCGCAGGGGCAACAGGGAGGAGGAGGGAGAGGAGCTAAAGTAGATAAAGAAGAAGCTGGAGGAGGAAGCGGAGGAGTTGAAGGAGGAAGGGGGCTAGCTAAATGTAGAAAAGGAGGAGCTGAACAAGGAGGAGATGAAGACGGAAGAGACATGGTTGAAGGACGAAGAGGAGGATGAGTGGCTACTGGAACTGAAGGAGGAGTAGGAGCTGAGGGAGGAAGTGGAGAGAAAGGAGGAGAAGAAAAAGAATGTTGATGGGGAGGAGTAACAGAGGAGGAGAAACAGGCTGTTAGCCTTTGTAAATCATCAGGAAATAAAAACACAAAAACAAATGCACACCTGATTGTGTGTCCTCATCCTCATCAACCAATGGGAGAACATGGGGCGGAGACATCACCACTAGGTTTTGGCCCCTGCCGTCACTCTCGATTAGTGTAAGCGGTCGAGAGAGCATGGTGAAAACTGCCAGAGAGAGACTAATGAATACAAGCAGAAATTATGTTTCATGTGACACAGATCAAAACTTTGTAATGATGTCATTGTCCTGAAAAATGAAAATATAAAAGATAGACAACATGGCTGCACTTCCTCCCATTGTAGAAAAATGAAGCCAAAATTTCCCAGTTGTGGGAGCTGCCATGTTGCACTTTTGGAGCCAGAGGCTGTGTCTCAATTCAGGGGCTGCAACCTTCGAAGGCTGCATTTGTAGGCCAATTACATCACAGCAACGCGACGAAGGCTGTCCCAATTCGAAGACTCCTCCAAATGCAGCCGACAAATGCGTCCTTCATTTCCCCAAATTTTAAGGATGGGTCGGGTGTGTACTTCATGGCTTATTATCATCAACAGCTACATTCACCCTGGGGAGAAACTAGTAAAGGAGACCATCAGGACCAAGCTGGGTTTCCTGGGTCCAGAGGTTTGGAGAAACTTCTTCCTATTCTTTCATCACAGCTGTCCTGTGCCATAAGTTCTGTTGACCCACTGAGAGAGGCATCATTTAAGAAATACCAGGAACACTAAAGCTTATCGCAGGGATCAAGGAGGACTCATGATCTTCACCAGCAGCTCCCTCACAGGGAAATCGTCAGAGCTCCACCATAGGCCCGCCACAGAAGATGGATAAACCCAGCATTTCATGAACACTGTGATGGAGACTTGCTTTGTCTAATGTTAGAAGTATTCAAATACTCCCCAGAGGCTCCAGACTTTTACACAAAGATGTTATATTCAGTCCTGTAGAAAGTTATATATTTAAAAATAAATTATCCTCTCTGGTTAATCTTGTATGAATGACTCCGGATTACTTTATGATAAATAACACACCATTGGAAAGTTTTTAGCTCAACATACAAGTGACGACCTTTGACCTTCATCAGGTTTTATTTAATTGTGTCAGAGAAAATCTCATATGCTCTTCATGCAGCTGAGTACATCAAGTGTTTAAAACAGAAACTGTGCAGGTCTGAGATCAGCAGCTCCCTGAAACACCAAACTGAGGTCCTGTTAATGCTGATGTATAGTGACACAGTTACATGGGTGATTAATCCTTTTGTCTTTTTGTCTTTAACTTTATCAATAAAACAGCAGCAGCTTTCACTGACAGCACATGTGGTACCTTAACCTTTGTACTGTTTTCATCAGTTAATTTTGCAGTTACTACAAAGAGTGAAGATATAGGGTGATCTGTCTGCTGTCACTGGGTGGTGCTGAGGTCTGAATCTGAGGGCAGCTCCTGTAATCACAAAGAGACCAGAACCATCACAAACTGAAATATAAAGTTTCTCTCAAATCTGAAATAAAGCTGATCCTTCTGTCCCACACACTCAGGATCTGAAGCTCTTCTCTTACATTTTTTCAGTTCTAAAGTTCTGCTGACAGCTGACATATGAGCTGTTTATTAAAAAAAGGACAAATCCTTATATACTAACACATTTTCCAATATAATGTTTACCTTTGAGTCGCTGGTGCTTTTTAAGTGGAGATTTGCTAAGATGAGATGATGGAGCAGGTTTCAGTCCTGGTTCAGTCTGCTGTTGCATCGTGGTCACCAACATACGGACGTGTTATCAGCAGTGTTTGAGCTGCTGCCTGAGTATTGGACAAATATTAATACTTTAAATTATTTCCCTCAAAGGATGTAAGCTGTAAGCAGTACTGCAGAAGTAACTTTGTGAAAAATATCTCATTTAAAATCATCCAGACTGTTATTTTAACCAGAACATTTGAAACAAACCTAGTAAAAAAAAAAAAACAACTTTAACTTAAGCTGCCAAATGGCCGTAGTTGGTTTCAGTACAGGGCTTTGCTATTTTCATCCATAGTTAATGATTAATGAAGGGTTAAGGGTCCAAGCTTCTTTATTATTTTTTTTAAATTTGGGGTTACTGTCCTTACAGATGTAGCAAGAGACAGAAAACATGCTGCTGTTTGCACATATTTAATAATCGTAATAGTAACGGTAGTTGGTGACTGAGCGGCCTGGTGCTTTTATGATTTCTTTAGTCAGGGTAAATTCATTCACCTGCACGGATTAGCTAAACGAACTTTACAAAACAAGTTTCCCCAACAGCCGAGTGCTCATCTTAGGTAGCTAGGTCTCAAGACCTAGTTACGGACATTAGTTACAGATTAGCTTACAAACACGTTTAACTTACCGAAAAAGTGCAGCGGGGCCTCGGGTCCTTCTGTCGGGTAGTCCAGTTTACTGAAGAACACCTCAGGCTGTCAGTTTGAAACAGTCGGTGCAGTTTTGTAACGTAAACACTGGCCCTCCTCTCAGATCTATCTGCCTTTCCCGAAAGAGATACATAAGTTTCTCCGCTACTGCAGCTGCCAGTCAAAGCTGTTATGATAAAGTTCCACCCCAATTTAACAGCATTATGGTAGTAATTACAATCAAACTTATGAGTAAGGAGACCCCTAAAAAACAAATCAGAGTCATGAAAACTACTGATAGTGGAAGAAAGCATTTTTGGAAAAAGTTTATTTGAGGAGATTTCTTTTTTAATTTTAGTCTGACCCCATTCCCATCCACTAACATGGAGGAGGCAGGATTTATGACCTATACTGCAGCCAGACACTAGGGGGCGATAGAGAGATGCTTCATTTTTGGGAAGCTATTAGGTCGTATCTTGACGTATTAGGAGAGATCTTGCAGCTGTGTCTGTCCTCCATCCATCACAGCACATCTAGAAACAACAGCTATACTCAGAGCTGGACCAATCAGCTCTGAGTATATTAATGATAAGAAGCAATCATCAATGTAGCTCTGATACTGTAATTCAACACGGCAACAGGTAAACATACGTCAGAGGCTCAGTTTAAATTCAGAGGACACGCATCAGTACTGACTGAAATCAACTGTTATCATCACAGACTGAATAAAGTTTGATATAAATCTGTCTGTGCTCATCGTTTAGAACAGATGAAACTGAATCCTGGTTTGGCTTTTGACCTTAAATGTGAGTTGATGTTGCAGTGATGCAGCAGACTTGAGATCAGTTCATGAACATTTCATTTCATCATTATTCACAAACACTGGCTGTTTTTCAATATTTGTACTTGTGTTCCTATGGACTTGTGAAACGCCATCAGTTGTATTTTTCCAATAGAGATTGAAAATGTGATGTCATTCAGGGGTAAAACCGCAAAGGATCCTGGGAACTCATGGCAAGAGGTACTAGCGCACACAGGCTTTCAATTTAAATCAGTTACACAGCGATAAAAAGAAACACAAAAAATGGCAAGAAGCTGTTGTATTATTAACTGCAATAGCCGGTCGCATGACAGCCACGGGAAGCCGACGGGTAAAGAGATCAGTTGTTATCGGATTAGTCTTTTGTTGTAGTTATTACGTCATTTTTCTTAACATAATTGGTAATATAGGTTACAAGCAAGTCTGGCGCTGAACAGAAATTGTCGCGCTATGCTCCTTTGTTTATTGTGCATAAATAGTGAATTGTCCTGACAGAATATTGCGTTTCGCTTCTGTTATTACCATGGTACATTGACAAAAACGTATACTTTTATTCACAGATTAAAACAGGTTTTTTGTATCACTAATTGCACAGTAGGATTACAGCATACAATATTATTGTCACTGCTACATTTCTGTAATGCGTACCAGAAATGATTTCCACTACTAATTAATTACCGTTCAGCTCAAAGGTCCTATTAATAAACGGTTAACGAATGTGTATTTATGAAGACGATTTGTGAGACTGGTAAACTTATGATACGTACGATGGTCTATCGTTCTACACGGTGCATTTCAAGGTCCTGTACCCATCTGTCAGTAAACTGTACCTGGGCTTGTTGCAGTGACCTGAAGTTACTAAACTTCACGAGTGTATGCACTCACTCCAAGAACCGTATAATTATAAATATGAGCGTGGTGAAAGTTGGGCAGCACGCTAACGTCTTTTGTCCACTCTGTGTGCTCGTAAGGGTATAAACCTTTCACTCGTTTGATTTTTTTCCTCGTATCTTTTCTTTGACTTTTCATCAAGTCTGTCTTTGTACGGACCGGCATTGTTCTCCTTCGTTTTGTACATAACTTTTTTGGGGGGGCAAAGAAAAAGCAAGAAGGTATTGGAACCGGAGAATGAACGTTTTGTGGAGCTGCAAATGCTTGCATTTGATGCGGTACTTGGATTGTTTTGCCACGAGTTCCCGGCATGCAATGCGTGAAAGTCACGTGGTCTGTCAATCTCTATTCAAAGTACGCATCAAGTCAAGTACGCTAAAAATGCCTAAATGTGTTTTTTTGCTCCGCCCATTTTATCAAGCATTCTTAGTGATGACTTGTGTGGACTTGGTGCAACGAGTATCCCAGAATGCATTTCGTATGAAACTTAAACAGATACAAAGATACAATACCAGATACAAAGTCCTGGTGTTTTTACCTCATTTGAGTCCCAACTCCTGAGTTTAAGCTGTCTCGTGGTTCTAATTATAGTCATCTATCGTCCACCTAAATATAATGACTTGTTTATTTCGGAATTTTCAGACTTCTTGACATGTTTTATCGCTCACTATGAAATAATTCTTATAGTGGGAGACTTTAATATTCATCTGTGTTGCGAGGATAAACCCCTGGTCAAAGATTTCTTAAATGTAATTGATTCCTTAAACTTCACACAATTTGTGTCTGGGCCAACACGTAAGGGCCACACCCTAGACCTTGTCTTGGGCTACGGGCTGAATGTATCAATGACTGAAAATTGTGTTTTACCTATCTTAGACCACTCAGCAATTTTATTTGATATTTTAATCCCTAAATCTCCAGCTTCTGAGAGGGGAAGACTGCCCCTCAGATCATCTCGTTATATTAGCCCTGAAGTATTGCTTGGAGTTAAATTACATCTACCTGATGTGTCGGACCCTATTTTTACCCAGGAGTTATGTGTGGACACCTTGACTGCGAATCTTAATAATACACTTCTTGAACTACTGGACTCTGTTGTTCCCGTAAAGAAGTTAAAATGTCAAAAAAGGAACCCTATGCCTTGGCTAAATGAGGAGCTCTTGAACTTGAGAAGAAATTGTAGAAAAGCAGAGCGTCACTGGAGATCTTCCAGACTAGAAGTATTTCTCCAGGCTTGGAAGGACTCACTGTCTTCTTTTCAATCAGCGATGTTGAAAGCAAAAGCAAATTATTTCTCAAATCTCATCATGAGTCATAAACATAACTCAAAACTCTTATTCAACACAGTGTCGCAACTTACAGAGAGTAAGTCAACTCTCTGCTGTTCTAATTTGATAGCTCATGACTTTCTTATGTTTTTCAGAGACAGGGCTGAAACACTTAGAAATCATATTACTCCCTCCTCAAGCTGTTCATTAGACTACTCGGCTGCTTTGCCTGTTGGTGTTGATAAACTGTTCTCTGACTTCAAGGTTATCTCTCTGTTTGGATTAACTAAGGTTGTAAAAGCAGCTTGATGTACAACCTGATCTTTGGATCCTCTACCAGCCTGGGCTATAAAGGAACTGTGGTCAGTATTAGGACCCTACATTCTGTTTCTTTTAAATACTTCATTGACGACTGGAGTCTTCCCTGAATGTTTTAAATCAGCTGTGGTAGTGCCAATCTTGAAAAAGCCTGGACTGGATGTTGACATGGTCGCAAACTACAGACCCATCTCACATCTGTCTTTTTTATCTAAAGTCTTTGAAAAAGTGGTTTTTAAGCAGCTCACTGAGCATTTGTCAACAAGCAATCTGTTTGAACCATTTCAGTCTGCTTTTAGACCAAATCACTCCACTGTTTTCTATGTACCTGCTGGCTCTTGGTGTTCTTTTACGTTCTTTTAATGTAACCGTTCATTGTTACGCTGATGACCTGCAGCTTTATGTTCCTTTAACCATTGGAAATTGTGCTGAAGTCTCTAAACTAGAATCTTGTCTATCTGCAATTAAGGGCTGGTTATCGGATAATTTCTTGCTCCTAAATACTGATAAAACAGA